TAAATCTCCATTGTTTGCTCTTCTAGCACCTGGGAAGGAAAGCCATTTGGTTAATGTCCCTTTCCCCCCATAGACTAAACTCCGTTAGACTGGGTGTCGTGCCTCCCTTAGCCCAGCACGGAGTCCCCAGCACCCAGCCCGGTGCCTGGGACCTGGGAGACACTTGGCGAGCACGGAACATGCACTAATGGAATGAAGTAGAATGAAAGAATGGACAGCCATTCCCTCCCTCCCCATGCTGTCATCCACACCCGTGTCTGGGACTCCGCTCGGCCGACAGTCTCGGTGAGATGATGTCCTCTCGGAGACCCCAGTCCCGGAGATGATGATGGGAACGGGGTTATGGGGAGGAGTTTCTCTTGCCTGAGCGGGTACCGAGCTGGGCCTTCACGTGGACCCGTGCTCACTGCTGCCGTGCAACGTGCTTTGGGTCATCTGAGGGGGATTCTTTGGTTCTGGTGAGCGTTCATTTTAGTAACTGCCTCGGAAGCCACGGACGGTTCTTCATGGCCGGACGTCTAATATCTTAAAGACCATTGTTTCCTACTGTTGTCCAGTTCTTCGGGTGTTTCAGGCAGGAGAACAAATCAGGTCCCCGTTATTCCGTCTTGGCCACAAGCCAGGAAGCCCTTTGTGGTTAGGTTTTTATTGTGCTGGAGTTTGGCCGGTCATCAAAGAAAACAGCTAGAGCTGACAGAGTAAAGAGCTGGTGCGATTCTTTCGGGTCGGGGTGCTCCAGTTTGAGCCTCCATGAGGAGCTCCCCCCCCCAAGAGGCTTGCTCCGCACAGATTACTGGGTCTGCCCCCCGAGTTTCTGAAGCAGTTGCTCGGGGGGGGGGGGGGGGCGGGGATGCAGGGATCTGCATGTTGAGTATGCACAGAGGTGCTGCAGCTCTCTGCGCTCCGTCCTGTCCCGGCTACTCCACGCACCCCTGCAGGCCACAGGTGGCCACGGCCTGTGAACGAGGAGGGAAGACTCTGTCCCAGAAAGACTTTATTTGCAAAAACACGGGCTGTGTTTAGGAGAACCCTGGTTTGGGAGAACCTGGAGCCTTGACAGTGATGGTTGTAAGAGTGGGAGGTTGCTCCTCCCTTCCAGAGGGAAGGGAGAAGTCCTTCTTTCCGGCCCATGGCTGGTCTCCCTATAGGGCCGGGCCACTGTGCTCAGCATGGCAAGGCGAAGGCCGCCTTTCTCGGCCGTATCGCTGACACTGGGAAATGACTCCGAGTGCTCCTGTGGGCATGTCAGGGGAAAAAGCACCCCTCTTGCCTCCCGCCATACACTTATGCTCAAAACTGGCTGCAGAAGCTGCAGGCCCAGTGCAAAAGGAAAATTCACACACCCCTGTTCAAAAAGGATTACGACTGTCAGGACGACAGTAGCAGAGCATTGAGCCAAGCACGGGGCCCCGCGAGAGCACAGGTCGCCTGCCTGGGAGGCTGGCCTGAGCACACGGAACCGTCCTGGCCTCCGGTACCCCTCTGCCACATACGTACCTGCCTGCATTTCCAACGAGAAATGCTGTTAACGTGCGAACACGAACAGTATTGATACCCATAGTTAGAAAGCCCATTCTGGCCCGTTTGGGTTTCTCAAAGATACCTTACATACTTGGCTAGAGAGAGCTTCTAGACTGACCTAGAAGGTCCAGTGGGGGTGATCCATTCATAGAAGATCAGGTAGCCACCACACATGCAATTTTAGCCCCGCAGATCGCTGACCAGGCGAGGTAGAATATAGCTGCGTCCAGCTATATTATTTCCTGCATATTCTTCCCATGTTGTGTTCCAGAAGCTTCTACTCACATTGGCCGGCAGGGTCCATAAGAGTTTTGTCTGGGGGCGCCGGGGTGGCTCAGCCGGTGAAGCGTCTGCCTTCGGCTCAGCTCGTGATCCTGTGGTCCTGGGATCGAGCCCCGCATCGGGCTCCCTGCTCAGTGGGGAGCCTGCTTCTCCCTCTCCCTCTGACCCTCCCCCTGCTTGTGCTTGCCCTCTCTCTTTCTCTGTCAAATAAATCTTTTTTTTTTTTTTTTTTAAGTTTTGTCTGTGTGGAACAACAGTGACCGATGTGGTGACTTCTGTTTTGTGTGGGAACCAGTTCCCACAGCTGCAAATAAAATCATTTGCTGCAAACGTAGGAGCACTGGCGTGTGCTGAGAATATGATTCATTGACGTGATCCCCCAAATTCTCCAGTCCCTGGTTTTCCCTGCTGTTATAAAACTCGACCTCTGCATGGGGTATCTGGAGTCCTCGAGAGCGAGAAATCGGAGGGAAACTTGAGCCTTCCTCTGCTGGTAAATCAGGGACTGGATGGCACCCTGCTTCTAACCCCACTCGTCTTTCTGAGCCAGGGAGCAGCTGTGATCGTTGCTTTGAAAGGAGCAGAATGCTCTAACCCTTTGGATGAAAGACTCTTTGGAAGTGGCAGCTGTGGATTTGGAAGACCAAGTTCTGTCGTTGAAGGGCAGGTGCGCCGCGCCACCCCAGCGCGCCCTCACTCGCGTTGAGGAAGGACGTGGGCTTTCTGAAAGGCGGACGCAGGAAGTAGTGAACCCTGGACCAGCTGATGTGCCCGTGGCAGCCGTGTGCGTAGCCTGCACGCTAGGTCTTTCTGCAGAAGGCCTTTCCCGACTCCTCTCTCATAGGAATGTATTCCCTCCTGTCCTCCTCTCTCCCTTCCCCTGGCCCACCATCCTCTGGCTCTCCTGCCGTCTAGAACTTGGCCCTTGTCACACAATAGCGATGTGACTTGACTGCCTACAGCTTCAACTGATCTCCTGGAAGGCAAAGAAGACGTCTTCGTTTGTATTTGTATCCCCCGTGCCAAGCACGGTGCTTAGCACCCTGTAGGGCTTCAGAAAGTACCGGGATTCCTGAACTCTGAAGTAAAACTCCCAAGAACCAGCTCACTTTTCAGAAAGTAGAAGAGGTGGCGAGTCAGAAATGTATCTTCCGAAGCCGGGTTCTGTGAGAATAGAATGTTCCCTATTTACTGTCCAGTACGGTGGGCCCTCACACGTGTGGCTGTGGAGCATGGGAAACACGGCTGGTACAACTGAGGAACTGAATTTTTTTATTGGCTACTCTCTCGGACGGCACAGTCCCAAGGCCACACATCGCTGTTCAGTGGGAACCAGTGGTGACCTCGTTAGCCAGGGAAGCAGGCGTTCATCTTGGGCTCCACACCATCCTACAGGCTGAGAATGGGGGAAGGCGTGAACGACACCACACACGTGGGTCTGCTTGCTCTTCACGTAGTGGGGCACGAGGCTGAGGGTTGTAGTTTCTCTTGCTTTGGCAGTCTGGAGAGAACTTGGGCTTTCAGTGGCCTGCGTCTCCCTGGTCCCCTCCAGCCCCCCATTCCCCAGAAAGCTGTATGACAGGTGGAACTCCATCGTCCTTGTCCCAAATCTCAAGTATCCAAAGCTCTTGAAGGTACTGACGTGCTAGTGAACTTGAACTGTTCTGTGCACTGGTTCCCGTTGTACGTAGTTTCATAAATCCATTTCACAGAGGTTGGTCTCCATGATGACAGCCAGCCATCTTTTGAAATGAACGAAAGCACACTTACTTATGAAGCCTTGACCTTTTTTATTTTCCAGTGAACTGAAGAGAAATCTGGTAATGAGAGTTTATAGTCCTCTCTTGTGGGTTTAGACAAATGCAACTTTTGAATGGGATGCTCCTCAAAATGGCGAAGCCCGTCTCCAGTGCTTTATGCTGGGTAGTCATTCCCTGTCTACTGTAAAGACCATTTGGGGGGAAAAATCAGCTGGCTTAATGTGCTTGCCTTGAAGTAATGAACTGCTCTCGATCGCTGTTAAACATCATAATGCATTCAGGTTCGATTTCCCTGACAAGGCATTTACTTAAAGGGCCTGGATGATATAAACAGGGACGGGAGGTCAGGAGAGGTACCGACATTATCCCGAGGCCACCACTGCTTTAGATGAAACACAAATGTCTCCGAACTGAAAATGTCACCTGGCTCTGTCCCTTGGGGAGAGCTTTATGGACCCCTCCAGTAAAAGTTTATTTTAAAAATGAAGAAAAATCTTCTTCTTAAGATGAACAGTGAATTGTGGCTCTTTCTTCATTTCATTTCATGGATGCTCATTTTGTCTTTTTTTTGTTTTTTGTTTTTTTTTTCTTCTGTTCCTTTTCCTTCAAGTACTTAAATGTCACCCACCAGTTCTGGATTCTTACTCTGAACACATATGTGGGGAAGGAGGCAGGTGGAAGCGTGGGGGGGTGGGGGGAGGAGGAGGAGGAGGAGGAGGAGGAGGAGGGATAATGCACGGCTAGTGTTGCCTGGGCTGGGGAGACATTTTTATTAAAAGATGAGGGGATTTGATGTTGACATGGATGAAACTTGAGTGGACCCACTTGAGTGGATGTTGGTGACTTTGTACTTATAGGGACCAAAAAGACCCATCACCTTTCCAAAATGACCATGTTGGTATTTTTCTGAACCCAGCAACAGTGTAATTACTGTATCTGCTTCTTCTGGTTGCCCAGGAGGTCAAAGGCTGGGAGAAAGCCATTGGCTGCTACAGAAATAGAGGTACTTGAAAGCCCCCAAGGTTGAGGTTGGGGGGTCGCTCTTACGTGTGGAACCGCAGCTTCACCGCTGTCCTCTCTGTTGACTTTGTTAGTGGACTGACTGTCCCTCCCAGTCACTCGAGCAGCCCCCCGCCCCCGGCCAGCCCCAGGTCCCTGAGGAAGCCCTAGAATTGCGACTTGCTCCCTGGCTCTCCGCTGCTTGCTCTGCTCCTCACCCCGAGTACATGAAGCTACGTCCCCTCTTGGAGTCCCGGGGTTCCCCCCCCCAGAATGTGAGCCGAGGACAGCCACCCCACTGGCCCTCGGCATGTCGAGCTTAACCACGGGGCATGAGGGGGGACACGGCAAGAGAGCCCCTCTCTGCGAAGGTGTGGTGTTGATGAAGCCACAGACCCCTTGCCCGTAACCACTGCATTTTCTCTCCTTTGGGTCCAGGCTGCTTTGAATGCTGTATCAAGTGTCTGGGAGGAGTCCCCTACGCCTCTCTGGTGGCCACCATCCTCTGCTTCTCCGGGGTGGCCCTGTTCTGTGGCTGTGGGCATGTGGCCCTCGCGGGCACTGTGGCGATCCTTGAGCAACACTTCTCCACCAACACCAGTGACCATGCCTTGCTGAGTGAGGTGTAAGTACCTGCTTCCCCGTAGAAATGTATTTGAGATGCGACTACCCCGTGATGTTTTCAGAATGACGAGCGAGCTCTCCTGGCAGAAAAGGGATGCTTTTCGTTAAGGCTTATTTGGATGCAGGTAGAGAAAAATCCCACGAGAGGAGAAAGGAAAGGGCCAAGAAGACAGTGAGTGTTGGGCCCCAGGGGCGTCTGGGGCCTGAGGGCGGGGTCTCCGCAGGTGCCCACAGGAGACGCCACGCCCAGGAGCCGTGCACGTGGGGGCTGGGGCCAGGCGATGGACAGATGCTGCCCGCGATCACGCCGGGAGTGAGTTTGCGTAGCTCCCAGGCAGCAGGCCCCACCCCCAGGGCCCTCGCAGGAAAGGGGACCGGCCCTGGCATGGTGGGGACCCTGGTGAGGGCTTGCCCCAACTCTAAGTCTGCACGAGCAGTGCTCTTACTCCCGCAGTTCGTACTCCAGTGCAGAAAAGGGGGAAATTTCAGGGCTTTAGGCCCGAATCTCTGCCTTCCCATCCTGGAATTCTCAGCAGCAACGCATTCGTTTCCTTCAAATATTCCCCTTTCCTTTGCTTCCTCCAGTTGTCTTTCTCTTTCCCTCACTCCCTGTGTCTCACAGCTTGTAGGTATCTTGTGCTGGTAAGGAACTTCTCTACCAGGCGGAGAAAGGCCTGAATGAATTCTTATTGAACAGTAATGGAATGATGATGCAAGTCCTTAGGGAATTTTCTTCTTCTTTTATCTGTTCGCAAGACATCCAAAGAACTGCGCAGGGGTGGGGGAGGTTGTAAGGAGGATCAGCCAGGGCCAGGGCCTCGCTGAGGGCCAACTGTGTGCAAGGAGGACCAAGAGCCAGCTACCCAAAGCGAACCTGGGCACGGTACACTGATCTACCTAGCTAGGGATCTTGATCACTTCCAGGGACAGGCAGCCCCCCCAAATGCCCGTGCCCATGCTTCCCAGGCGTAACGAGAGTGGCCGTGCAGAGCTTAGCTCCTTAACGAAGCCCTGCGTGCCTACCTAGGGGGTCCCGTCAGAGTATCATTGATCGCTGGGCCCGCTTGGGAGGCGTCCTGCTGTGGCGGGAAGGGCATGCGTCCTTAGAGCAGAGCTCCCATGGCGGCTCTGCCCCTGACTGCGTGCCCTCGGAGGGGAGACTGAGCGTCTCCGTGCCTGGGGTTGCTCACGTGCAGAAGGAGCATTCTCCCCCTCAGGCCCCAGGACGCGGGTGCGTGTGCAAAGATGACAACCGGGCCTCCGCCCACCCCTGACCAAGCAGCCTTCTCCCCGGCCCCAGAATGTCGTCCGTCTCAACCCTGGGCCCTCCTCGGAAGAAAGGCCCAGGTTGCTGTCGGGTGGCCAGGGGTGCCTGCCCGGGATGCCCCGTGAGCCCGCCGCAGCCATCAGCGGGGTGGGAGGGGTCACGGGACGTGGCTCGGCCTCATGCCCTCCCTCCAGAGGCCCCAAACGTCTTCTCTTCGCCATGTGGTGACTGTCACTTTTCCGGATCTCGTCCTCCTTCCCGCAGAATACAGCTGATGCAGTATGTCATCTACGGGATCGCGTCCTTCTTCTTCCTGTACGGGATCATTCTGTTGGCCGAGGGCTTCTACACCACGAGTGCGGTGAAGGAGCTGCACGGCGAGTTTAAAACCACTGCCTGCGGCCGCTGCATCAGTGCCATGGTGAGTCCAAACCTCTGAGTGGCTGACTTGCAGCCGGAGCCACGCCTCTGGCTCGTCCTTTGCGTTTGGTGAAAGCTAGGAGACCGTCGAGCCCGGATGGAGCGTCCGTGACGCCAGCGTTGTCCCCACAGTGTTGGAGGTGGGAGTATCAAAAGAACCTCCGGCTTATTAGCGGTAGTCAGTTAAAACATCTGCCTGGAGCAGTAAGCATTTCCCTTCGGAATAGGCAGGCAGTAAGGGCGCCGGAGGGTTTTCAAGTAGGAAGGTGGCACTGTGGAAGGGCGTAACTTCCGTGTTGTCCCGGCACCCCCTCGCCTTTGTCTTCGGTTGTGCGTTGCGGCCCTGAAGACGGTGTACTGTGGTGAGCTGTCACAATCCTTCTGGAAGTACCAAGCGCTCTTCCTACTGAGCACCCGGCTGGGGATTTTGCTGGCCGCCGTGGGTGTGGGGGGGGGGGGGGGGCTCTTGTCCCCAGGAAGCTCGCGGCCACCTCCAGCCCTTGGGCCCAATCTGGCCTGCCATCTGTTTCCGTGCGGCCCACGAGCCGAGCACGGCTTTGTGTCCGGAGATTGTTGGGGAACGTTATACACGGAAATGAAAGGAAACTCACGTCTGGGCGGCCCCCTCCGCGGGCCGATGCGCCGTCGGCATGTGGCCGCGGGGCCTGCGCCGGCCCCCGTCTGGCCCCCGCGGACCCGCGCTGACCTCGGCAAGGCAGGCCTGTCGGGCGCCGCGTCACGACGGAAACCCGGCGGTGGGTTGAGAGGCCGGGAGAGAGGAGGGGCGTCCGGCGTCCGGCGGGGGGCACGTCGAACTGGGGCTCCTAGCGCGCGTTCGCGTCACAGCGAGCGGCCGAGCGGCCGGCGGCGTGGGTCCGGCGTCGGACGGAGTGGTCAGATGTAAGGAAAGCCGTCGGCGCGCCGAGGGAGCGGCACTGGCACGGCGGAGGACAGCCCCGGCGGGCTGCGGGAGGCCCCGGGCCCTCTCTCGGCCGGGGGTGGGGGGTGGGGGGGGCGGAGAGCTGCTCGGCTGGAGGGCGGGCGCACGGGCTGGCCTAAGATGCCAGGAGAGCCCAGCATCCGTGACAGCCCTCCTTAAAGGGGGCACGCAGCTTGCAGCGTGTTTGTGACCGGGTGTGGCCCTGGGACACAGCGCCCAGCAGGCTGCTCAAGGTCGGCCCTGTCTAGCGGGGGTGTGTGTGTGTCCGTGTCCGTGTCCGTGGCAGCTGCTCATCCCGGGAGGGACCCTGGCTCCTGAGGAAACTGCTGAAGTGCCCTGTCCCTACGGCTTCCCCGTCTGGCCCTTGGTTCCGGCTGAGTTTCGGAGCCCCTCGCTAATCGCCTGGGAACAGAAATGCAGACGGCGGCCAAGGGCGGAGAGGCACCGATGCCGCACGCTCAGGAAGGGAGGGCTCGGTGGCAGCCTCGGGGGAAGAGGAACCAGCAGGAGCAGGGCGGCGGCCCGGGGTGCGGGGGTGCTCCCGCGAGCCGGCGGTGTGTCCCAGCTGGAACAGAAGGGTCTAGTGACGAAGGGTGGAAACGACGCCGCTTGGGAGGGGGAGAGAGACCAGATCAGCAAAGGCCTTGGGTGCCAGGCTAGGAATCCAAGCGCCGACGCTGAACGGGGCGTGCTCGCATCCCGTACGCGAAGGACGGGGTGGGGGGTGTTAGGAGGGAAGGTCAGCCAGACGCGGGCGGGCGCAAGGCTCCTGTAGCAGAGCGCAGAGCGGGGAACACGGTCCGAGTGGGGCCGAGCTGGCCGCTAGGATGGCAGTGGGACTAATAAGCTCGAGAGGACGGGATGAGCGGCCCGTCTCCGGCTGGGCCGTGTCGAGGCGGCTGTGTGCGCTTCCAGTGTTTCACCGTCGCTGGGGGCTCGGGGGGGGGGGGGGTACGAAGAGCGTCACCGAGAAACCTGGGCTGGGGTTTCTGGGAACACTTGGGCTGGAAATGACAGAGACTTGTGGTGGGTACGGACAAGGTGACAGAGAGCTTTGTGGAGGAAAGAGCCCTGGGGCACAGCCGGTCTCCCAGGAAGACCCAAGAAAAGGAGGCCTCATGGGGGAACTAAGAAACAGCCAGACATGGAAGGACTGTCCCGGGGTTCAAGGAAGGGGCCAAGGACATGCCCCCCCCCCCAAGGATGCAAATAATTTGACATAGCCTTGGCTATCTATCTCCATGTCACTCTTGGTATGAATGCCCACCTCCCTGTCATCTGAACCTCCAGGCAACAGCAAGTGGCACCTCTGGGGCTGGCATCTCTGACCCGGTGAGCTCTGGAAATTTCTCTGGCAAGCCCCTCTCCTTCTGCCCAGGCTCCGCCCTCCGGCAGACTCCCACACTGCCCGTCCTATGCTCCATCAGGGGCTGGGCCAGTGCTTAGTTCCCACAGCACGACTCCGACCAGCCTGTAACTGTGACAGTCTTCCTGAGGGCAGGGCCGCCAGCTGGGATGCACGCACGGACAACGCTCCTGCGGGAGGCCGGGGCCTAGACAACCCCCCCCCCCCGCCCCCCCGGCTCCGGAGCCTCTCTGTGCCCTGTGACTCACATCAGTGAGGTCTTGCACCATGGCCAGGCGCTGCTCTGTGTCGCAGTCCCGGTTGGCATCAGCCAGGGGACACGGCGCTGTGTGGGGCCGGGTGGCACCATGGGAGCTCACCTGAATGACAGCGTGTGGGACTTCAGAATGGTGCCGCCGGGCTTTCGGCCTTGGCGGGGCCCCTGCAGGGTCCGTGCGTGGGTCCCCATACATCCATGCTCTCCAGAGTGGCACTGGCGGGACGAACCGTGTGCTCCTAAAACTACCTACGGCAGTGAGGCCCCCGCTCACTTGTTTAACCATTTAGTTCTTGGGTGATGGGAACCCCTCCGATTCCACATCCCCTGTTGGATTGTCATTTCAGTTTGGCTTTTTAAGGTGAAGTCCACAGAACAAGGGAGTAAATGAGTTTAAAACTCACAGTGCAAGCTCTACCTCGATAAAGCTGTTATTTAAAGAAAAAAGATGTGACTACTCTTCAACTTGGGGGAGTGCTTACTTTGGGGTAGGAAGCAACTGTAGGAGGAAAGAGAGAAGTCAGGAGCCTAGGGGAAAGAGCAGCAGAAAGTAGATGTGTGTGGGGGACCTCAGGCTGCTTCCCCCACCTCAGTCAAGGGGGCCCGTTTCTGCCCGGACTCAGGGCACACCTGCCTGGTGTTGAACATTTTGAGGATGGAGTCTTCGCGAAGTCACTCAACAAAGGCGGCCGAGGGACTGAGGTGGCCCTGATCCCTTGGCAGCCCGTGTAAGCAACTGAAGCCAGAGCCGAGGCGCTCGAATCCCAGAAAAGGAAACTTGAGAACCAGCCATCCTAAACAGCCCAGTAGGCCTTCCCAAATAAGACGGCTGCTTCAGTTAGAGCCTGTTACATAGGGTCTGAGCTGGGCTTCCGGGTCTGCTAGCCGGCGTCCCTGGGGCCCCTCGCACTACTTTCAAGCTGGTGCTGTCCCACTGCAATGGAGTGTATGCCCAAAGACATCTTCACAGTTCGTGAAACATTTTAACGTGCCTCAGTTTACCTCGTACCAGGCGTTAAATAGGGGGATGGTAGAGAGGGCCAGAAGCTCGTGCCAGGTGGGAGAGCACCTGGGCCTGTGCTTGGAGTGGTTCTTGTGGACGAGGCACGAGTGTGCATGGGGGCTTCTGGCCCAACATGTCAGGCTCGAAGCCCCCCCCCCCGCCCCCGCCACTGCCCACCAGCATAGCTCACTTTTACCTCTTTTACATGTTCAATTTTATTGAAGAAAAGCTCTGTTCCCAAAAAGTTGAAAAGCCACGCTGGGTACCTTGAACACGGGTTGGCTTCATACAGGCATCCCTCGCGTTATTGGACTTCATTACACACGGAAGGGTTGCGGCAATCCTGTGCCCAGCAGGTCTGTCGGCGCCATTTTTCCCAAAGTACTTGCCTGTTTCGTGTCTGTCACATTTTGGTAATTCTTACAACATTTCAACCTGTTCCGTTTTTCTGTGTGTCGTGGTGATCAGTGCTTTGGGGTGCCCCAAACCGCACATATGTAAGCTGGCAAACTTCACTAATACGTGCTGCATGTGGTCTGCCTGCTCCCCAGACTGGCCATTCCCCCCACCCCCATCTTCCTCCCTATTCCCTGAGACACCAAAGTATTGAAATCAGGCCAATTACTAACCCTACAATGGCCTCTAAGTGTTCAAGGGGAAGGAAGAGTGACGCGTCTCTCACTTTCAACCAAAAGCCAGAAGTGACCAAGCTTAGTGAGGAAGGTAGGTCGAGAGCCCAGATAGGCCGAAAGCTAGGCTTCTTGTGCCAAACAGCCAAGGAGTGAATGCCCAGGAAAGTTCTTAAAGGAAATGAAAGGTGTTAGTCCAGTGAACACACAAGTGATAAGAGACCGTTGTAGTGCTCTGGACGGAAGGGCAAACCAGCTGGAATGTTCCTTTAAGTCAAAGCCTAATGCACAGCAAGGCCCTAACTCTTCAGTTCTGTGAAGGCTGAGAGAGGTGAGGAAGCTGCAGAAGGAAAGTCTGAAACTAGCAGAGGTTGGTTCATAAGGTTTAAGGAAAGAAGCCGACTCCATAACATCAGAGTGCAAAGTGAAGCAGCACGTGCTGATGGAGAAGCTGCAGCAAGTGATCCAGAGGATCCGGCTCAGATTTCCCATGTAGAAGAAACAGCCTTCTACTGGAAGAAGATGCCCCTTAGGACTTTCACAGCTAGAGAGGAGAAGTCAGTGCCTGGTTTTAAAGTTGCAAAGGGCAGGCTGAGTCTCTTGTTAGCAGCTGGTGCCTAAAAGGGCTACTGCTAAAGCAGCAGTGCCAGTACTGGAGAGGATTACATCCATTTCGGAAAGAAGTTCTCTGGGTAAAGTGCCCTCGACCAGCACGGCGTGCTGCAGAGAAATCCTGAGTGAAGGGAAGAGTCGGCGGTGCAACGAACTTCATTGCTGATCAGCCAGCAGCCAGCATTAAGCCCAGACCCTCCACCAGCTGGAAGACTGACTCACTCAAAGCTCAGATGATGGTCAGCAGTTTTTAGCACTAAAGTATATTTTCTTGAAGGTCGGGACCTTGTCTTTTCTGGACCTAATGCTCTTGCACACTTAACAGACTACAGTACAATGAGAACTTTGCACTGGGAAACCCCCAAATTAATTTGACTCGCTTTCTTGTGATGGTCTGGAACCAAACCGCAGTATCTCGGAGGTATGACTGGACCTTCAAGGGAACCATGGAACAGACCTGCCTTGGAGCATGTTAGGAAGTCGGAGGTGACCGGGGAGCCCTGACGACAGCTGGGGCAGACGTGCTCCCAACAGAAAGCTCCGTGAGCCCTGTCCACCCGGGACAGCGGAGCTGCCCTTGGTTCACCAGCAGGCCTGGTGCTCACCGGTCCCTGATGCGAAGCTGCTGCTGGGCGGCGCACTCAGGAAGCGCCTGTGAAGGCCTCGGGCCGCCAGGCCAGGAATGGTCCGCAGGGGGCGCTCTCCACAGGCCTGCCCTGCGGAGCCCTGACCACCGCTAGAAGGCAATGTTCACGTCTTTGTGGAGTTACTAAGAAGAAAGGATTCCTTTGAAGGGTGGGTAAGAAAACCCAGCCTAGTCTGGAGCAGCCCATCCATAAGCGCAGGGGCAACAGGGAGTGAGAAACGGCTGAAATCGGCTTCTTTGAATGTCTTTAGAAATGCAAACGCTTCTGTAAGTATGAATGCCCTTGCAATAAAAGCAAAAGCACTGACCGACTACAGCCGGGCGGCCGGGGCGGCCTGTGTGAGCCCGCCCCCCAGGCGGACCGAAGACCCTCCAGCTCTTCCTTGCAGTACGGAAAGTGAGACGGAGTCTGCAGGTCTTCAGCACCGCCTGAAAAAAACAAAAGCCAAATTAGATTTCCAGCGTGTCGCCCACAAGCTCTGTGGGTGCATGTTCTGAAAATAGGAGTACCATGACATGCCGTTTTGGGAACAGCCTTTCCACGTTCTGTGCACACTGGCAGTCAAGGCAGGTTAGGAAGTAAAGTGAAGCCAGAGGATGCCATTCTTCCTGAGGCTGGCCATGGCCCCGTGTGCGGAACAGGATGAAGAGCGGCCGTGTGCACAGAGCTGCTGTGAATCTTCCAGACGAGAAACGGGAGAGGGAGATGGGAATTGTATCTGACACTGTGCCTTCAGCTTGTGTTCAGGGCTATTTTAGACTGCTACCTAATGCGTTCAGTGATTTCTCGGGACTGGGAAACCAGGGAAGTTCCTTTTGAGAAAGGGCTTCCTGTTGCACTGGTAACTGTACCACGCGCACGTCGTATAGAGTAAAGGCCCGTGAAAGCAGCCCGCCACTCGGCACGGTAAGTATGGGAAAGAGCGGCAGGGAGGCGACCACCACGACTTCGCTCTGCAACCTTGGACCAGGGAGATCACGGCTGGGGGAGCCAGCTCCTGAGAGGCGGACTGCACAAAGTCCCTGAGGTGGCTTTGGGCAGTCACATTCTCCATCGTGCAGCTCTAGAGAGCATGACGGCCCCGGCCCAGCCCTCGCTTCTCCTCTCCCTGGTCACTTTGCCAGTCGCTCTGGTGGCCCAGGCAGTGCCGGGAATGCAGGCCACGGGTTCAGTGTCCACCCAGAGCTGTGGAAGCATTTTGTCCCCAGGTGCTGCACCCTGCTCCCCTTGGTGATGATTCTTTCTCCTTCTCGGCTCAGTTCGTGTTCCTCACCTACGTGCTGGGAGTGGCCTGGCTGGGCGTGTTTGGCTTCTCCGCCGTGCCCGTGTTTATGTTCTACAACATCTGGTCAACTTGTGAGGTCATCAAGTCACCCCAGACCAACGGCACGGCCGCTGTGGAGCAGATCTGCGTGGATATCCGACAATATGGTACCGTCTCCTTTCATTGCCCCGCTGAACGTTCACTCTACCCTCTTGGTGCAGTTGTCTGCACCTTAGGGATTACATGGGTGGCTTTTTTAATCATTGTGATCGCTGTCATACGTTCTTCTGTTGGAATAGTACATACTCTTAACGTATGCTCTGTTTTCTGGAGGGAAAGATCACTTAGGCTCTTAGTTGTAATGCAAATTTTGGTTGCATTTTCAAGTATGTAGTAAAGGAAACTTTTTGTACTGTATTATTATCAAGGAGCAGTGCATTATAACCAGACTTCTGGACATCAAAAGATTACAGATTTTTTTTTTCAATTTCTTTTCAGTTTTGTACCATTCAACTCTTTATCCAAAATATTGTATATACACTGTAGTCCAATTAATTTCCATGTCCCACTCTTCAAATCCGGTCTTTTAAAATGACCAACTGCTTAAACTTCATCTGTCCTGGAAACCACAACAAAATCCAGACATATTTTAAAGTCATCAGACTGAACTCTATAAAAGCCGACTGTTGGAAACCCCTTCAAACCTATTTTCTAATGAATGGGATACTCGCAATAGGCAGCTAACGTTGGTTCATTTTGACAAGCCACAGAAGGGGCCATTGCCCCTCCTGCCAATTAAACGGAGAGGCAGCCTCCTAAGTAAGGAGTTTAATGAGTGCTTCTCGCCAAGATGCTAGGGAATCGTGTTCCTGGCAGAAACAGCAAGGCGGGGGGTGGAAAGAACTTTTCATTAAAATTAAAGACAAGATTTCTCAGGAGAGAGGACTATTTCATTTGTGATTCTTGTTTTTCCCATGTGGCTTGGCTTCAACGTCTTCTCTTACAACCTAATCAGAGACTTGCCCAGGACTGCCCATTGGAGTACTGTTTTCTCATAAAGAGCAAGATTCAGCCTCACTGGTGGTTTGAAAAAGATGATTTTTTAAAGTATTTGTAAATATCTAGATGTATATAATTTCCTTATTAAATATTTTCACTAAACACTTCTAGCTATCAGTGATCCTAGTTTTAAGTGTTCTATATTTGAAATCACTGGTTTCACTGACCCCATGAGGACTTGTCATTTCCCATTCTCCTAAAGCATCTCTTGGCCCATGTAAGGGACTTTTTTTAAGATTTATTTGGCAGAGAGAGGGAGGCACAGTGAGAAACAGGCTTCCTGCCGAGCAGGGAGCCCGATGCGGGGTTCGATCCCAGGACCCTGGGATCATGACCTGAGCTGAAGGCAGACGCCCAACAACTGAGCCACCCAGGCGCCCCGGGGATAAGGGACTTTTTAAAGAAAGCCTTCCTTACCTCCGGGGAGAAGAGTAACTCGAGCTGTGTTTAATCTTTAAAAGCACACACCTACTACATGGTGACACGGAGAACAGCAACCCGGTGGGCCATGGCGTGGTAGAGAGGAGTCAGGGTTCCAGTGGGAGACACGGGGTAGGGGGGATGGACTCCAGAGTGTTTCCCTTTTTAAATTTCCAATTGGATTTTCAATCCCAGTGAAAATGAATATAAAGGGCCTACAAAATCCAAATTACCTATAGACTCCCCATTTCGGGACTTTAGTAGGAAGTCCACAGACTGGGAAATGCTGGGGGGGGGGTTCTACACCTTTAATTTTTACAAATAAAGCGAGCACAATTGGTAGGGAAAACAAATCCGGTCTTAAGGCTCTTATGGACTAGTTGACTTTGCTCTCGTGCTGCTAAGGAGGACTTCTTACTGGTTCTAAACAGCCTGGTCTGCAGAGGGCAGAGCTGTCAAGTGTGGATGAGGACCAGCGAGAGCACGGGGCACTGTGGGGGCCGCTAATAACTAACATTCTGTTGGGATTCACTTCACAGGTATCATTCCTTGGAATGCTTTCCCTGGGAAAATCTGTGGCTCCGCCCTTGAGAACATCTGCAACACCAATGAGGTAAATAAACCCTTCGCCTCTCAGGGCCTGGACACGGTCCCCTGGCAAAGCAGGCTGAGGAAAGGGCCCTCTGAGGTAGAAAGAACAGGAGATGGTGCAAATGCTAGTAAGGGAGGCTTTTCTTTGCAGACTTTTTAGATCAAACAGTCTGTCTTTACCCACATTCATGCATTTTTTACCTAGAAAATGCCCCCTTTCCCATGGTCCAGCCGGTTCAGTGAGGATCCTTAGCACTCAGAGAGCTTTCTCCTTGGGCGATAATTTGAGAGTGGTCCTAGTCTCATCCATCTGAAAATACATGTAGATTCTTTTTCACCTTCACATAGCTTTTCAAAGTAGGACTTTTATCACAGAACAAATGCAGGTTCATTTTCATGGAAAAAGATCCCCTTGAATTTGTATAGAAGCCCAGTTTCTCTAAATCTAATCACAGTTGATCACTGCTTCACTCTTAACTAGCAGAATATCCTAACCCACTTTGGTTTGAAATCAGATCTTAGACTATTCTTTAGGCATTGGTTTGTAACTGTTCATAAAAGAACATTTTTTTTAAGTGCACCAGTGGGAGCTTGCATACTTAAGAGAATCCGAGCCTGCTTTGGGAAAGCAGTGAGTTACTGAAATGTCAGCCAGTTTGCATATCCGTACCAGGGCCTGGTTCCAAGCAGGGGCTCCCAAAGGTGACGGCACAGAGCAGTCAGTGAGGAGAATTATCCTCACGGCGGAGGCCTGGCTACGTCCAGCCCGGGCATCAGGAAGCTTTAGAAGTGCCCCCGTCAGGGGCAGGCGGTGGGCAGCCGGGGCGTGCACACAGGACGGGGGGACGCCCGTTCCTTCCACAGCCAACGCTCACCTGTGCCCGGTTCTTCCCTAGTTCTACATGTCCTACCACCTGTTCATCGTGGCCTGCGCCGGAGCTGGTGCCACTGTCGTCGCCCTGGTGAGTAGCAACGGCCCCGGGCCCGGCCTAGCGCAGCTCCCCGCTCGAGGCTCCAGCGCCAGATTTGCCTTCCGGCCATACGGTCCGGAGCGCAGCCCGTCCCGGTTGCCTGTCTGGGCCCGGAGGGATCTGGATTCTGTGGGAAGAAGAGAGGGCAGCTGAAGCTGGGCCGCCCATTACCCAGGCCTGGCCTAGGCCAGGGGTGCATATTCCGCCCTGACTTGCAGGACTTGGGTCACTGACAGCTACTCGTGGGAGGCATTACCCATTTCTTTGGCAAGAAATCTTAATTTCCAAGTGGAAATATGTACTTATACACCTACATACCTCTACGGTTGAGCTTGTTCTATAAAGCCTCCTGCAACCCTGAGCCACTGTTTCTAGAGGGAAACACAGGGTTCATTTTCGGCCAGCACCTGGCCACACCATTTGTTGTCAAACGGAACACCACCTAACCTTGCTTCATGTGGTTTTGTTCAAAGACATCGTATTGAGTAGAGACCACAGCTGTATTCCCAGCGAACTCCCGGTCTCAGCACTGTAGCAGCTCCGACCTGAATGAAGCCCCGTGGCCCCTCCGAGCCTTCTTGCTCTCTGGAGGCTGTCGAGAGCCCTTCATTCAGCACTACGGTTAGGAAACATCACAAAACGCCGTAGCACTAACTCGTCCGCACCAAGGCTGCTCGACTACAGTCCGAGACAAGCAAGCAGCGTGGTGCCTTGGTTGACCGCAGCTGGGAGACTAAACCTCTGCCCCACTCTGCGTGTCCCCCAGTGACCATGGCCGTGCCATAAGCAGTGATGGTCGCACGAAGGGAAATGGGCGCACAGGGAAGCCACAGCTAACGAGGAGCACCTGTAAAGGGCCCCGGGATTCTGTGGGCCTCCGCGTGTACAGCTAGAAGTCGGGAGGGCTCGGTTTGGGATTTCGAGAGCTCCAGGATTGGCAGACCCAGAGGGAAATGGCATGAGCTTGGATAAGGTCCCTCCGTACTCGGCCCTGCAGAGAACGGCCCGTGCCATGCCGGCGGCGACCTGTGTGCTTGCTGAGCTAGGGGCCGGCCGAGGAGGCAGGCTGGGGCAGACCAGGGGCCACGGGGCCTGGAGCTTCATGGCTCGGGGCGCTCTGATTCTTTCAACACCTCCAAGTCTTCGTAATAAACGGCCTGAGGGCAGAGGCCAGGATTAGCAGCGTGTACGTGAAGTGAGAGGAAGTCGGTGTGCTACATAGGAACCCCTTCTGGGTGATAATAAACGGGAAAGCAGCCACGCTGGGGGGACTGCCTGTATCTTACTGTCGTGTTCTGTTCTCTTCCACCAGCTGATCTACATGATGGCTACTACCTATAACTATGCCGTCTTGAAGTTTAAGAGTCGGGAAGATTGCTGCACTAAATTCTAAATTGCTTAAGGCCAACAAGGAGCTGTAGGGAGCTCTCCTCGGTAGCCTGAAATCTCCCTGACGCCCCAGACTAAAGCCGAGTCTAGGTTGCTGCAGTTTGGTGACAGTAATTTGTAAATAGCTTTAGTCTACTCATTTTGCATTGTAGCCTAATTAGATGCCTTACCCTGAGTGAATTACAGAATGATGAGATCTGGCTATTTCCACGTTGTGAAAAGAATTCAGTTATGTACTGACCTTGGTGAGCATCCGTTAAAAAAACATAATTCTCTTGAACTTTGAGCAGTTTCTCTAAATGAAGTGTTAAAACTTTGTAATACCTGCCTTGTCCGTTATTGTTGCTTGCTTGATAACCAATACCAGTGCTGGAGAGATGGCAGAGAGATGCGTTTTCATCTGGATTTTTTTTGTTTTCTTAGACTCTGGAAAAAAGGCAAACATTTTAAATTTGACTAAAACTTTTTTTTTCTGATTACATGGCTCACTACCAAATACATGCCCCTCCAATTAGCCTGCCAGCTAGAGGACAATGTGAAGAATAAAGGGCACCCCGTTACCTTCTGTGAGACCAGGATCTGTACGTGGGGTGTGTGTTCTCTCTGCACCACCCAGTCACCCCTTACCTGGTGGTGTTGTGTTCCCGGTGCGGAGCCCCTGATTCCTCATAGCCAGGTCTCACACCGCACATCAGATTCTGAGGGGAAGAGAAATTGTGCCTGGATCTGAAAGTCTCAAATATGTTGAAAAGGAAATAGGAGGAACTGGAGATGTAGATTTTGGAGGAAAATGAGTGGGCAAGAAGTGTTGGCCGCCCCCACTGTAAAGAAGAAGGATTTGTACATTTGGGACCTGCACTCATGGCAGTCTTAGAACGAAAACTGGAGGTGCGCCCCTAAGCACATGCTCACACGGATTGCAGGCTGTGCTTAGAGGTCTTAATTTTCCCATGTTAACTGTGTAGTTGATGAGTTACTCAAAATAAGTATCATTCACTTGTAGGCCTTTGGGGAACTGATTTTTATCCACAGAGAGGGAAGACCTTTGCCCTGCACTGATTTTAAAAAAGCACACCAGGTGTTTCTGAACGTCTATGTTAGTTGTTAAAATTACTCCCAAAATGGGGGGGGGGGGGGAGAAGAATAAAAACCACTCTCTCCTATTTCATTTTTGCTTTTTCTTAACAATAACTTTGGCCATTTTTTTCAGTTCATCGTGTTTGTATACTAACTTTTCTTCAGCCTCTTACTCTTAAGCATACTAGTGGAGCATGCTTCCAGAATCTGATGGCTCTGACAGCAGAATGAGAATTAATACAGAATAACCCTCTCCCTTTTGATAGTAAAAACCGTCTAATCTGCCTAGCAGCTTGCTTTGCCTTCTGACATGCTCACTAGCCATCATGCTCACCCTTCTTTTCCAGATCCACTTCCTCATGATACTGTCTTCTAACTGGGCTTACTTAAAGGATGCAAGCAAAATGCAGGCTTACCAGGATATCAAAGCAAAGGAAGAACAGGAACTGCAAGATATTCAGTCTCGGTCAAAAGAACAACTCAATTCGTACACATAAATGTTTGCCAGAGTGTTACGGCCGACGAATTGACCGCTCTGCCCACTCCTGAGACAGCTGCCCTGCAGTACAGATGTGTACCCCACCAAACAACCTAAATACTTCCCTGTCCGGCTCGAGCTGCTGGGGTGTATTTCCAGGAACACCTTCCAGCAGGTCAAGCTTTTTCTTTAGAGCAGATATTGGAGGTTTCATGTTAGCCATTTTAAAAGGCAACACTTTGAGAAAAGGATGATCTTTCTGAAATTGGTGGCATGTTCAGGTTTATCGCTAGAGCGATCCTACCAGGAGAGGCGACGGGGAGCTGGCCTATTCCTTGAGAGGGACCGAGGCTGTGCCGGCATCAAGGAACGTGACCATCAATTCACATACGCCATCTGTCCTGCAGTCACTTTACCCCTATAGGGAATAAAATGGAATTGGGCTGGGGGGGGGGGCGTTCCATTTCTGATAGCTGACATTTATTAAACTTAGGCTCAAAGATAATGTGATTCTTGACAATTGACTTTTTAAAATTAGCTGCCTTCCCTACCCCTTGAGTCCAGGCCACATTAATTTCCTGATCCAATTAGAAATCTATGTTTCAATAATGCTAAAAGGAACTACTATAATTCTGCTACACGTGCCACTGAAGAAGCTGGATTCGGACTCCTTGACAAGCTTTCCAAAATCAATTTCATAATAGATTTCCTTTAAATAAAATGGCCCAGTCGTCATTCTTCCTGGGAAATAAATGTCAGCTCTGCCTTAATGAGTATTTGTTTTAAATCTCTAAGAACTCATTTTACAACAGGAGAGCCAAATCCTTCATAGACTTTTGTTCCACCAAGGTTTTTCTTAATTAAGAAGTGTTACCTTATTAAAATGACCACCATTCTAAACCATTTTTATGTGGTCTGAACAGCAAGTTTACAGTTTCGTACCAACGATCTAAAATCTAATTACAAATAGACCACAGACCTCCACCTCCTCCTTTTAGACTTGAATACTTAAGTAATTTCAATTAGGGTTGGTATTTATTTCATTTTTTAAATCTTTCCTGGAATAATAAAAGTCGGACGTTCAGCAAAAAAACACCTGCTTGAGTTTAAGCCATTTTCAAAAGAAACTTGCCTTCTAAAGCATTGTGTTCCAGAACATTAAGTGATTATAGGTATTGGGTATTAGTGACGGTAAGCTTTGTGTTGTTCTTTATGAAATGATACATATAACTGTCGGGTGCATCAGTGCTTTTTAAAAGAGGCTGCATAATATAGGGTTAACCATGTATATTCGTGTTAAGAAGTAACTTGTGGTTTGGCTGTTTCCTGGATTTTAAAACATATACATGTGCAGAAATGTATTAAAATGAAAGGAAGCATACCTTTATCAAGATGCTATTAAAATTGAACTTCAAGTATATTTCATTTGGATTCTTTTTGTTGTTGTTAATGCCTAAAAATGCCTATTTGGATCTTGACTTTTTTTTTTTTTCAATTGGGAGAAGCTCTCTTTTGTGTAGAACAGTTGTTCCAGAATAGCTTGTTTTGTTTTCCTGTTGCATGACAGACTTAAATTTTTTTTTTCCAGCAGTGGAGGTGCTGTTAGAGTCCAGTATTCTAGAACAGGCAGTGTCTCAAGCCTAATTTTACTTTTCTAATTCTGGTAGCTATTACCAGGAATTTTTGAAAGTTTTGTTTAAGTAGTCTAATATTTTTTATGTAAAGAGCATTAAATTTTGCTATGTATAAATTTTTGTAACCTAACAGTGAATCAATATTTTCTATCAGTGCCAAGGGCTTCCTGTAGTTCTATTCAAGTGTTACAATAAATATTTGTAGATAATAGTCAATACTTGTGTATGCTTATTTTAAAGATCTATTTAGGTGGAAATAGTTGTGGATGTACTAAGAGTAATGCAATAAAAGTATAGCTTCACTCACTTGCCTTTTTACCATACATAAATACTATCTTCCTCTGTCTCTAGTATGGTGTCATTTTTAAATAGTACGCATTATCAAGATTTCACATGTGTATGGAAATCGTGTTTACAGGGGGATGCTACCACCATCTCTATAGTTCTGTGAAGTATAGAAATTTTCTGACTAGCGTCCACAAATGAAAGCAATTATACATATGGGATTAACACAAAGCTTAAGTGTGGGGAAAGAAAAAACAATGTCGAACCTTCCGAAGGGTCCATGTACCCCTGGCTCCTTTACAAACCCAAGGTAGAAAAGATCTAGCTCCTAAAAACAAAACTCTAGATCTAACAGCTCTCTAAAGCAGCAGAGCTAAGTTTGTTACTTAGGATTTCATTTTACTATCAGTTTACTTATCTGTTAGCACAATTATGCACTGGGATTTTCGTCATCTGAACTTCCTGAGTAAGTACCAGCTCTTGTCACTTACTGAGACACTGCCGTTTTCTTCAATGAGGTGCCACCTTGGGATCCTCGCCCTTCCTTCACCCTCGGCAGGAAAAAATCAGGACCCCAATTAGTATGCTCTTTGTCCCACTACTTTAATACCTTCTGTTTTTGTAGCATTTTGTGCAGTTAAGTTACATAACAAACTGTGTGTAAATCCTGTCTAGATGAGATCATAACCAACAGCCACCCAGGCGCCCCACATGCAGTCTCTTAATAATTGACAGTGATCCTGCCACAGAGTACAGGAACCTCTAGAGGGTGCAGTAGCAATTTTTCATTTCTCTAACTCGGCCTTGTGAAACTCGACTTTCAAATTGGTAAAGAGATGAAAATAAAGTCACAATTTAAGTCCATTAAAAAATGACAACTAAAGATTCCACAATAAAAAGCTTGAAAAAAAATCCTTTCAGGGCTTTTTAATGCTAGGATAGTCCTACTTTTAGAAGATTTAAAAGAAACGATCCCTTTGTTAGTATCTTCTCCTAAAGCACGACCTCTTTCTCTAGTCAGTGCAGGGTTCATCTGTTCTCAGATGTTTGTGCAAAATTTCAAAATGAGTGTTAGGATGAATAAAATTACAGAAAGTTTTGAGGAAACAAAAATACAAATAAAGTCAGGTTGGCCCAAGAACATCCTTTTTCCAACCTGTCCCCCAGCCTTTCTCACTGTTTTGATATTTGAACTTGACCCACCTGGGGAAGATTTGAACAAAGATGCATTCAGGGGGTCTTGTCCGGGTGGGAGCGGGCAGGGGAGTTCTCACATGACACATCACGCATCCATAGCCCTTCTAGAGGATGCAGCCATCTGAAAAGGTATATAAGAAATGTCTTCTCTTTAAATGGGATCGGTTCTGATGTGAAATATTAAGAATGCTGCTTAGAATTTAAGTTGACTGAAAAATCAAGCTATAAAACAAGTATGCAATGAGTTACTTATACAAGGTCTTTGAAAATACAAGGTGGGGGGGAAACCGAGTCACATCAAAACGTGTTAAGAAGTTAGCTGAGGGTTCTGGCCCAAGATGGTGACACAGGAGGCCCCCGAACTCCTCCCCAGAATACAGCAAATGTGCCACTACCCAGATGAATTTTTGATGCAAAAAATCCAACTAGCTGAGCTACTCTTACACATTTGGCAATCAAAAAAATACACACACTGAAATGGGCAGGAAAAGCTGAGCCAAGCCCTCACCATAAACCCCAACCCCAACACGATGCCACAAAATCAGCTGGAAGCTGCCAACTGCAAGGTTCTCCCTGAACGTTTAGACCCCACATTTAGCACAACTTTTAAAACTGAGAGATGGGCCCCTAAAACAGCTTTTTTTTAAAAGATATTATTTATTTATTTGGGAGAGAGACAGACACCGAGAGAGCACAAGCAGGGGGAGAGGCAGAGAGAGGGAGAAGCAGACTCCCTGCTGAGCTGGGAGCCAGACAGGGGCTCAATCCCAGGACCCCTATTTCATGACCTGAGCCAAAGGCAGACGCTTAACCATCTGAGCCATCCAGGTCCCCGAAAAAACCTAATTCTTAAAGCCAGTAGGGCTTGTATCCACGACATCAGACCCAGAAAACTAACAAAGAAATGGTGCTTAACCAGCCCTAGAGGTCTAGCTCCTGATCTTTCCCCGAAAAGGACGTGGTTGCATATATTAAAAGCTGTTGCCTCAGAGTCCAGCTTCTACACTGAGCACACCTCTAGGGGCTGCCTCCTATTGCCAGCAGAGAACAGGGAAGCCAGTGGATGCCTCCTCCATCTGCTCCCCTCTAGCCCACTCCAAAGCACCCATATCTCTCTGGAAGGTTATGCACATTGTGCCTCAGTTTTAGTAGCTGCCACCCAACATATCCCTGGAATACCTGGCTCTGAGACCCAATGCTGCTTGCATTCAGGAGTTCCACGGGACTGCAGCAAAAAAAAAAAAAAAAAGCAGTTTTTAATGGGCGCAGGAGCAACACTCCCCCAACTCCCCCACCTCCCCAGCCGTGGCTAAATACCTCAGCCAAGTGCAGAGGAACTTGGCCTAGGGAAGATGGGAAAAACACCCATCTCACTGTTTATCCCAAAAAGAGGTGTAACTTACATATTCTCCCAGCTGCTATCTGAGAATCTGGCTTCTAATCAAACTGCATCTGTGTGCTGTGATCTTACCCACTGGAATGCTAAGCAGTCTTGACAAACACTCAACTAGTAGGAAGCACCAAGAACAAAAAAAGTTGTCGTAGACAATCACAAAAATTTAAGAAGCAACCAAGAGCTTGGGCCAGCCCAACTGAGGAGGTTCACCTCCTACACAAGACCACTCTAGACTGGGATAGGTGGCTGTTTAAAAGGGTAGAAACCAACACACAATGAAGAAAAATGGAGAGATGGTGGAGTATGTTCTAAACAAAAGAACAGAACTCCAGAAACAGACCTTAATGAAATAGAAATAAGTGACTTACCTAAGAGTTCAAATTAAGTTATACAGATGCACATGGGGATCAGAACAACACATGAACAAACTGAAAATTTCAACAAAGAGAAAATAAGTATCAAACCATATAGCTGAAGAACACAACAACAACTGAAAAATTCAGTAGAGGGGTCAACAGCAGACTAGATCAAACAGAAGAAAGCATCAGCAAACTTGGTGTCAGAGAGCCCGAAAGCCTGAAGTTCCAAAAAGTATGAATCTAAAGAAATGCACACCGAGACACAGTATAATTGAAGTGTCCAAAGTTAAAGAATCTTAAAGCAGGAAAAGAAAACCTCGTAACATACAAAGGAAACCCCATAAGACTACCAACAGATTTGTCAGCAAAAACTTTGCAGGCCAGAAGGGAGTGGTATGGTCTGAGCCACCCAGGTGCCCCCCAGCCTTACATGTTAAAGGTAGTTCTTCAAGCTGAAAAGATGCTAACTAGCAACAGGAAAATCTATCAAAGTATAAAACTCACTCATAAAGGTAAACATACAGTTAAATTCAGAATACGCTAATGTTGTAACAGTGTTGGGTAAATCACAACTCTAGTGTGAAGATTAAGAGACAGGGGCACCTGTGTGGCTCAGTCATTAGGCATCTGCCCTCGGCTCAGGTCGTGATCCCAGAGTCCTGGGATCAAGCCCCGCATCGGGCTTCCTGCTCCGCAAGGGGCCTGCTTCTCCCTCTCCCACTCCCCCTGCTTGCGTTCCCTCTCTCGCTGTGTCTCTCTCTGTCAAATAAATAAATAAAATCTTAAAAAAAAAAGATTAAGAGACAAAAGTACGAAAAATAACTATACAATTTGCAAAGGAATATCAAAAACAAAATGTGGAGGCAATGTATAAATGTAGAGCTTCTGTATATGTTCAAACATAAGTTGTTGTGAGCTTAAAATAGACTACTATAGGGGCGCCTGGGTGGCTCAGTCAGTTAAAACATCTGACTCTTTATTTTGGCTCATGTCATGATCTCAAGGTTGTGGGTCTGAACCCCGCATTGGGCTCCACGTTCAGCAGGAAGTCTGCTTGAGATTCTCTCTCCCTCTGCCCACTGCCCTGCTTGTCCACTCTCTCTCAAATAAATACGTTTTTTTTTTAAAAATAGACTGTTATACATACCTTGTTTGTAAGCTCCATGGTAACCACAAAGCAAAAGCCTGCAGAAGATACACAAAAGATAAAACCCAGGGGCGCCTGGGTGGCTCAGTCGGTTAGGTGTCTGCCTTTAGCTCAGGTCATGATCCCAGTGGGATTGAGTCCCACGTTGGGCTCCCTGCTCAATAGGGAGCCTGCTTCTCCCTCTCCCTGCCCCTCCCCCTGCTCATACTCTCTGTCAAATAAATAAAATCTTAAAAAAAAAAAAGAAACCCAAGCATACCACTACTGAAAATCATCAAAATACAAAGGAAGAGAGTAAGAGAAAGAAACAAAGGAATTGCAAAACAACCAGAAAACAACAACATGGTGGAAGTAATTCTGCACCTATCGATAATTACTTTAAATATAAATGGACTCAATTCCCCCAATCAAAAGACACAGTGGCTGAATGGATAAAAAACCAAGATCCATAAATATGCTACCTACAAAACACTCACTTCAGCTTTAAGGACACACCAGACTGAAAGTGAAGGGATGGAAAAAGATATTCCAAGCAAATAGCCAAAACAAAGTAGGGGTAGCTATACATACATCAGATAAAATAGACTTTAAGCCAAAAACTAACAAGAGACAAAGAAGTTCATCATATAATACTAAGAGGGTAAATTCATCAAAAAATAGAGCATTTGTAAATATTGATGCACCCAACATCAGAGCACATAAACATACAAAGCAAATATTCACAGACCTCAAAAGGGAGAATTAGCAGCACAATCACAACAGGGGACTTCAATACCCCATTTTCAAAAATGGAGATCATCCAGACAGAAAATCAATCAATAAGGAAACACTGGACTTCAACAACACATTGGACCAGATGGACTTAACCGACATTTACAGAACATTCCATCTGTTAACCCTAAAAATAAAGCAGCCAGTTATTTTACCAGTAAAATGAGTTTATTCAGGAATAGCAGAGGAATTGCAATTTGAGTCATGCAAGCTATAGCAAACCACAGGCAGAGTCTGAAGAACAAAGGAGAGGAAGCTTACAGAGGAAAAAGGAGGAAGAAAGGAGGGAATGCTTTGACCAAAAGTCTCTTGGAGGAAAGCCAGAGTTCAAGGTGGTGACGGGTTTCTCATTGGCTAGGCAACTGCTGGGCAAGGAGAAAACCTTCCTCCTGCTGAGGCAGTAAAGTGAACTTCCTCCTGCCGGGAAATATGAAGTAAGCTGTGATAGAAAGTTTGTGTGTGTGACAGTTTCCCCTCCAGGGCTTTCGGACTCCATTCTAAATCAAGTTTCCCTTTATTTTCACATTCCCCCCCCCCTTTTTTTTAAAGATTTTATTTATTTATTTATTTGAGAGAGAGAGAGAGAGAGAGAGAGAGAGAGAGAGAAACAGCATGAGAGGGGATAGGGTCAGAGGGAGAAGCAGGCTCCCTGCTGAGCCAGGAGCCCGATGTGGGACTCGATCCCAGGACTCCGGGATCATGACCTGAGCCGAAGGCAGTCGCTTAACCAACTGAGCCACCCAGGCGCCCACATTTCCCCCTTTTGATCAAGAGCTTTCTCCAAAAGCATAACTGATCAAGAGTTGAGTTCTCTGTATTAACTGTTTTTGTCCCTTGGTGCCATGAAGGACCTTTTCTGGTTATCACATCCCACATCACAGGGAAAATACATAGCAGTTACAAACCAATAAGGCCCCATTTGAGTAATAAGAAGGTTAAGAGGGAGAACTCTCAGGCATTTCCCATCCAAAGGCTATATCTTGTCAAGGTTGTACACATGAGATCAGCTCGAAGCCCTGAGCCAGTGTCACCTTATAGGGTACATCATTTCTACCAAGGTTTGACAGGCCACAAGTACAAAACTTAAAATTACAGAGTAGAATTAAAAGTAGCAGGACAGGGGCGCCTGGGTGGCTCAGTCGGTTAAGTATCCAACTCTTGGTTTTGGCTCAGGTCATGATCTCAGGGTTGTGAGACTGAGCCCCCACATTGGGCTCCACGTTCAGCCAGAGTCTGCTTGAGAGTCTCCCTTGTTCTTTTTCAAGATTGCTTTGGCTATTTGGGTCTTTTGAGGTTCCATACAACAGGGAGTATCTGCGATTCCACAAACACCTCCTTGTGTATCAAGTAGGTAATTAAGGGCTATGTGACTGTCCAAAACTACTTCAGCCAATGAGTCAAGTGATCATTGCTGGACGGTTGCTGCTTTGGCTGTGGAGCAGACTAGCTCTCCCAATGGAGGCCTACTTGCAATAATCAGGCATGCCTCCTGGAAGTTCCCGTTTCAGGTGGCTATGGAGGTTTAATGGGGTAGACTACCACGGGAGGCTTCTGATTTATTATGGATGTTGACAGCAACAGTTAAACATCCCATTAAGGACTGACCTCCAACTCGCCAGCTATCTAAACATTCATATGCCCATGGGAAATACCATCCACTGCAAACAAAAATGAAACCAGGTGAAGTACAGAGGTCTCCAGCTAAGGTCTGCTTAGTAATAGATCCATTAGCTGGAATTCCCTGATTGACCTTTTTTCCTTTTAAAGATTTATTTATTTGAAAGAGAGAGAGCATGAGAGAGAGAGAGAGAGAGAGCATGAGCAGGGGGCGGGGAGGCAGAGGGAGAGGGAGAAGCAGACTCCCCACTGAGCAGGGAGCCCGATATGGGACTTGATCCCAGGACCCTGGGATCATGACCTGAGCTGAAGGCAGACGCTTAACCGACTGAGCCATCCAGGCGCCCCCCTGATTGACCTTTTCAAGGCAGGAATCAGAGGAATTGGCATGACATTCTGTGAGGTACCATCCCATCCTGAAAGGGTCTTTTCTGAAAGCCTTGCAAAGAGCAACTGGCCCATCTGTATCTCCCTTGCAGGGGAATGGACTGTATTTAAATAGGGAAAAGAATGTGGGGGGTGCAAATGTCATACGATTGGCAGTGATGCAAGTGTCAGGCTGACCTAGTACAATTATGGCTGGAGGAAGTTTGAAACAAGGTGCGAGAACACCTGGCTGTAAATAGCCTAATCCGATAGGTAACACCCATAGACTTGGCAGGCAGAATCAACAGTGGCATTTGGGACTAAGACAATTGGTGACACATAAGACCAAGGGATCTCGGATGTAATGAACCTTTCAGTTTCTGGACAGATTCGACAGTCAGAGAGGTTTCCCCTTTTTGCAATAGATTGGGAAATATGGATCAGGACACTGTCCTGAACAAGAGAGGA